GAGAGGAGAATGGAGGAGAAGGGATTGCGGCGTGACCATCCCCCCTGGGGGGTGATTTCTCGCTTTCTGTCTCTATGTCTCTCTCTGTCTGTCTGGAGAGCGCACGCGCCCTACAGTGAAAATCTCTCAAAAAAAAAAAAAAAGTTTAAGCCACAGGGTCCAGGACTCAAACCAGAGTCGACTACATGGGAGTCCAGCAACATAATCATTATACCACCTGCTGGTCCCTAGATGCTTTATAGTTTTTTTTTTTTTTAATCAACACTGTGAATTGTCCCTTTTTGCCTAGTACATCTGTTACAGCAACTTAATAATTTTTTGTATGTTGATCTTGTATCTAAGTAGCCCTGCTAGACACTCTCATTAGTTCAAATAGTTTTTCTCTAGATTTTCTAAATTGACAGTAATATCACCTGCAAATGAGAATGATGTTGGTTCTAATTCTTAGAACTCGCATTTACTTCACTGATCACATTGACTGGGAGCTCCATTATAACGGTGGACAGTAGTGCTGACAGTAATCTTGTTCCTATTGGGGTACCTCTAACAAATTGCAAAACTTCCCTTCTGCTATTTATTTTTAAAGATACTTTTGCTATAGGGCGCGTGCACTTGCTAGAGAGACAGGGCGACAGAAAGCGAGACATCACCCCCCAGGGAGGATGACCACATCGCCATCCCCTCCTCCTCCATCCTCCTCCCGGGACCTTGGGCACACACATACATGTGCCTAGTGTACGTTTCAAGCTGCCAGGTCCAGGACTTGAAACTGGGAGTCCCACGAGGAAGACCAGCGCTTTAACCACTACACCACTGCTGGCCATACTCCCCTTCTGTTTTAGGAAGTCCTACCATGGTTCTGGGGCAGGCTTAGGATTTAGAACTATCATCTTAGAATGTGGAACCTAAGACTAGCGTCTCGGCCATTGAGAAATCCAGTGTTCTGAGACGGTGCAGGGTGGGAAAGGCCTTTAGGTTTGGGCAGACTCGGACATCTGTCCCTCCTGCTACCAGCAAAGGAAAGCGTCCCTGGCTCGCAGACAGTGCCTTGGCTTCTGACCCCTCAAACTATCTCCTTGGTACAAACACCGCGCCATGGAGCGAAGAATCAAGAGGGACGCCCAGAGACACGGCTGCTGCGTGATGGCCCTAATGTGGCTTGTCCTTTTCCTTGGGGACCGTGCGGCAGGGCACTTAGCACTGGTGCCAGCACACTCCTGCTCGCTGCCCCTCCTGTGCTGTGGTGCTAGATAAGTGTTGGGGACCCACGGCCTGTGATTCAGCCTCTGCAGGGAGGCCGAGGCAACCAGTGTGCTAAGAAAAGAACTTTCCACTTCCATTTTATTGGAAAGAAGCTCTTCTCTGCTTCATTCATCAGATATTAAAACCCTACTCAAAGCCAAGGAACTGTGCAGTGGGCTGGGGTGACCATGGCAAACAAACCGACATGGTCCCTGCTCTTACAATACTCTTCCTCAGAAGGAAAGAAGGGGATTTAAAAAGTGAATACAAATCCGAATGGTGACAAGTGTGATTATGATGTCTAACTGCTCCCTTCAGAAACACAGGAAAGGAAATGAGGCTGCCCATGCCCACTCATCGCCCTTACACGATGCTCTCTAGAGATGAGATTCCAAAACTTTGCTTTTTAAACGTATGCACTCACCAGAGACAGAGAGACAGAGAGGGAGAGGGAGAAAGCATCGCAGGGGGCATGGTCACACCACAGTCCCTTTTCTTCCATTCCTCTCTCTTGTCAGGGTTTGGGGCATGCATGTGCAATGCTGCTGGCTTGGTTTGTTTGTTTTTTAATCTGCTGGGATGGAGATTCGAACCATAGTCAGTCATGTGGGATTTGGCTCCCTTAATCACTAGACTCCACGGTCAGGCCAGATTACCAAAACTTAATGCCCCATGAAAATGTGTGAATTCTGGGGCCAGCAGATGGCGTGGTGGTTCAGGGCACTGGACTCCCACATGGCTGACTGTGGTTCGAGTCCTGAACCTGGTGGCTTGCTTTCTCATTTTCCCTCTCTCTCTCTTTCACTCTGTCCCTCTCCAGTCAAATTAAAATAAATAAAGTTAAATAAAATGATTTTTTTAAAAAAAGAAAAGAAAACGGATGAATCCTTTCTATTGTATTTTTTTCTGTCTATGAATAATGGGAGCATCTGTACAGTTTGTACAACCACCACCCTCCTCACAACAGACCAAATTTGGTCAGGGGTTGCTGCCTCTTCTCACTTCCTGGCTTTCTGAATGGGAGCTTTCAGCTGGTGGACAGTGGACGGTCTCAACCCCAGCCACTGCCAAATGTCTTGTCCTTGGTGCTAATCTGCCATTCTCCTGGTTCCCAGGCACCCCGACTGCCTTCAGGCTAGCTGCAGCACCCTGCCTGCCCTCTGACACCCCAGGACAGAGGCAGATGCTGGGTGAGTGGGTCACGTGCTTTCAGAAGGTTCCCAGACCTCGGGGTACCACCATTAGTCACCCGCTTAGCATAAACCCAGGTATGGTCAAAATGGGCTCAATATGCATTATGAAAGACCCTCAAATCACTCGGGGAACTCCCAGGGTTTTAAGCCTCTGTGCCAGGAACTGGAGTCTATCCACGCATTCAAGTAACACCTCATCCACATGGAAGACAGCTGATCGGATCCTTGAGCATGAGCTGGCCGGCCTGGATGGTGATGGGCACTCAGCTCTACTCAGACCCCAAAGCCTCAGTCCGATGAGCATCATCTGTGGTTTGGCATGAGGTTAGTGAGGTGGGCTGGGTCTGCGGCCACTACCTAGCTCTGAACACAGCAGGCACAGGCCTTGGAGTTAAACAATCCGGATCTATGGGGGGACACGAGCATCAGGGTCAGGGTGGTGACACTGATGGTCTTCCCTGTGACACACAGATACACGGTGGGTGCCAATCGGCTCCCAGACTCAGGGACCACAGACGATCTATAGGAGCTGGGTGAGTGAAGCCTAACTAGGCCCTCTGACGAGGACTGGCGGGTGCCTCCAGACAAAGGAGAGAGCCCAGTGAGCAGAGGCAGAGGCCAGGGGAAGAACACCTGGTGAGGAGGTGAAGAGCTGGTGTGGAGGTCACAGTTGACTTAGGCAAGAGCCTTTTTATTAGCCCTAGTGATTTAAGCAGGGAGCTCTAGAGTTTAGGTTTATCTTTTTTTTTGAGAGGTTTTTGGTATAGGGTGTGTGCGCTTGCCAGAAAGACAGAAAGCAAGAAATCACCACCCAGGGGGGATGGCAGTGCCACAATCCCTTCTCCTCCATTCTCCTCTCAGGATCTTGGGCATGCACGCACACATGCCTGGCATGAGTTTAAGCCACCAGGTCCGGGACTCGAACCGTGGTCAACTACATGGGAGTCCAGTGACATAGCCATTATGCCAACTGCTGGTCCCAAGTTTAGGTATATCTTAAAGAAAGACTACCATGGACAAGCTGGAGAATGGATTAGAGAGGGAGAGCCACTATCGACTTTTTCGTAGTCTCCAGCACTAACCTTCTGGTCTCCAGGGTTCCACCTACCCATTCTGGGAACGGTGGTCAGAGAACTATTATAAAACATAAATGTGGGCTGACAGGTGGGTAGGGTGCTGGACTCCCACATGGCTGACTGCCTCAGTTTGAGTCCTGAACCTGGTGGCTTACTGTCTTACTCCCCCCCCCCACTCCTCACCCCATCAAATTGAAAAATAAAAATATGAATAAAATAAAATGATTCTCAAAGCAAAACATAAATGTGACCACGTAACTTGACTGTTACCACTTCGTCAGTAGCTTCTCAAAGCGGCCACGTGGCTTAGGGGGTCCTGACGGTGTGGACAGTGTTGTCCCTGTCCTGCCTGATGTCTGCCTCGCACCCCCAGCACCCATGCCTGGCCCAACCCGCCCTCACTGTGCAGGAGCTCTCTCCTCTCCGGAGGTCATTTTCCTTCCTCCCTCTCCTCGCTCTCCTTTCAGGTTTCAGCTTAAATGTCACCTCAGAGAGGTCTCAATCTCTCGCTTTATCTAAAATAGATGGTCTCATTACCTTCCCCCGCTATCTCAATCTGAGATCTGTGTATTACATTAGTCCAAGAGCTGTAGCTCCCCGGCCTTTGTATCATGAAAGCGGCCGCCGACAATAACACTGAAAGGGATGAGCTCCAAGAAGCCTTTATTTTATGGACACTGAAATTTCATTTCATGTAAATTTCACGTGTCACGAAAGAGTCTTTACCTACTATTTCCAATTGTAAAAACCATTCCTAGCTCCCGGGTTGTCAGCTGGACTGTAGCCTTTAATATGCCAGTAACACCGTTTGACTCTGCCGAGTGTCCTTTCCCACCACACCGCGTGCCCTGGGACCCCGAGCGCGCACCTGCGGCTTTTCGGCTTTTCGACCGAGCTTCTCGCTCCGCGGCTGCTGAGAGCTGGACTAATGCAGAAGTAGGCGGAGCCTGCGGGTCCGATACAGGGGCGGGGGGGACGGAGCCACGGGGCGTGGTCTTGAGGTAAGGGGTGGGGCGACGGGGAAGGGGCGGGCCGAGCAACGGCTTTCGGCAGCGCGGAAACAAGATGGCTACCACCAAGCGTGTCCTGTACGTGGGTGAGCAGGCGCGGGCGCTAAATGGGGCCCCGGCAAGGCGGATCGAACGGGTCAGGCTGTAAGGAAAACCAGTTTCTAGACCTGGAGCGTGGCGAGCAGCTGTCAAAGCTGGGTGTCTGGCGGTATTGCTTTACTTCCGGCCGTTGGCCATAGACGTAACCATCATGCCGACTTCCTAGCCCGCTAAGCCCCAGCAGGACCCAGAGGAGTGTCTCCAGATCCACGCGCTCATCCATTTCACAAACGTGCACTGCAGCCCTTTGCCCTAAAGGAAGGAGTTCCCTTAATAGCCAGAGAAAAATGGGAATGATGTCAATTGCAGTTTGATAAGCACTGTGGTGGCAATGAAGAGTGATAGCATGGGTCTGGGTGCCATCCACCTGGAAAGGTGAGAGGGAATTCCGAACGTGGTGACGCCCGAGCTGAGGAGCAGGAGTTAGGCGGCCAAAGTCGAGGAAAGACTTTACTGCAAGGGAGCAGCAAGAGCAGAACCCCAAAGGTGTGAAATAGTTTGACAGTTGGTAACAAATGGGTCATTATTCAGGAAACAAGGAAGAGGGGAAGCAAAGTAAAAGAAGCTGAAAAGGTGGGCAACACTTGGGGTGTGAAGAATCTGTGTGCACTGCTAAGGAGTTTGCACTTTATCCTGAGGACACTGGGGAACCTTTGAAGGAGTTTAAGCAGAGAAGTGGTAGGTTTACATCTTTCCCAAGATTGTTCTATAATTGGCTTTGTAGGGTTAATAGAGGAAATGGAAGCAGAGAGATCTTTTTTGAAGCAGTTGGGGTAATCCTGGAACTACATGAGAGTCTGAAAGAAGGTTGGAGAGAGGAATGAGCTCCATATTTATGGCTGTGCAGTAGAGGGGAAAAGGGTGTTTGTGTATTCAAAAGACTGGATGAGAGGATACCTTCCCTTGATTAGAATGATAACCTGGCTGCTGGGTTTTCTGCAAGAATACAGAGAATGGCTTATTTGCAGGTGGGCTGGCAGAGGAAGTGGACGACAAAGTTCTTCATGCTGCTTTTATTCCTTTTGGAGACATCACAGATATTCAGATTCCTCTGGATTATGAAACAGGTGAGTGCTTTTAGTATCTCTCACATTTAGAATCCTCCTACTAGGAAAAAAATTAGAAGTCACATTACAATTCTAAATGAGCTTGGTGTATAGGAAATTTCAGGAAGGTGCCTCAGTAGGTCAGCATGACAGTGATCTTGGTGCCGAAGGAATGGTCTGAGGCTGTGTGGCTGTGCTCAGAGTTGCCATCTGTTGGGTTTGAAATAAGCTAAAGTTTTCAAGTGACTAGTAGCAAGATGGATTTTAAACTCACTGAGATCTGAGTGTTGTTTCAAGCTGTTTGAGTCCTTCTTGGCCTCTCTGCTATCAAATGGGGCAGCAGGAACCCTGGCCCCATTCTAGGGACTTGGCCTCTGCACATCTAGATGTGTTTTCCTTCAGTTACTATCGTAGTCACAGTTCAGTTTTCTGTTCTATCTTCGTTGTCATTTTTAAGATTGGAGTTTTAGGCCCAGCTCTGTCATCGTCCTTGCATCTGATTGTTATCGGTGTCTTTAACCCCTCTGAGCCTGGGCAGTCTTTATTTGCAAATATGATAAGGTTATATTGGTTTTCCAAGGGCCCTTTCAGACCCTGAGTTCTGTGATAAAATTAGCACTGATGTGGTGCTTGGCCTTTCTGATCAGATCAGCCATCTCCCAAGAGTGGATATCAGGTTTTGAGATTCATGCTTTATGCTCAGTTAACGCTCAAAATGTGTATTTGGGAACCAGCAGATGGAATAATGATTGCATCATTGGACTCCCACATGGCTGACTACAGTTCAAGTCCTGAACCTGGCAGCATAAAACCCATACTGGGCACTTGTGCGTGCATGCCCAAAATCCCAGGAGGAGAATGGTGGAGGGATTGTGGTGTGGCCATTTCGCTGGGGGGAGTGATTTCTCACTTTCTGTCCTTTTGTCTCTGTCTCTGGTGAGCACAGACGCCCTAGAGCAAAAAAAAAATTTTTTTTTTTAAATGTGTACTTGAATGAATAATTAATAGGTTAAATGACTTTATTTTTTTAGTTGCTTCTCTCGCAAAGGTTAGCTTTAAGTTTGGCTTTGGTAGAAGAAATGAATACTTATTTTGGACATTAAAAATATTGCTTAGGCCCATCTTGGTGGCACAGTCGGTAGCAAACCGAACTGCAGTGATGGAAGCCATATGGCCAGCTATTATCTTGAAAACATATCAGGTACATGCACGTGTGCCCAAGGTCTTGATAAGTTGGAGGGCGGGAGACCACAGCATGACCAGACCCTTTGAGAGCGCTCCTCTCTCTCTCTCATGTGTATGCATATGCTATTGTGAACAAAATTAACTTTTTTTTTGGAGAGGTTTTTGCTATAGGGCGCATGAGCTTGCCAGACAGAGAGAGAGCGAGACAGAGAGACAGAAAGCGAGAAATCACCCCCCAGAGAGGATGGCCACGCTGCAATCCCTTCTCCATTCTCCTCTCAGGATCTTGGGCACGCACGCACACGCGCCCGGTGTGAGTTTAAGCCGCCGGGTCCGGGACTCAAACCGCAGTCGACTATGTGGGAGTCCACCGACATAGCCATTACACTAACTGCTGGTCCCCAAATTAACTTTTTAGAAAAGAATTTAAGAATGTACATGTCTCGGGCCAGTTCCATGGCTGGGTGGTTGAAGCAGCCTGATCCCATATGGCATAGTTCAAATCCTGGACCTGATGGCTTGAGAAACACATTGGATGTGTGTGCATGCATGCGCCAAATCCTGACAGGATGGAAAAATGGAGAAGGAATTACAGTGTGACCGTTCTCTATGGGGCACTCTTTTTCTCTCTCTCTCTGGTGGACATATGCACCTTCTGGCAAAATTTTAAAAATACATGTGTGTATGTGTGTGCATGCACGTGTGTGTGTGTGTGTGTGTGTGTGTATTTCTCTATGTATTTACATGTGTACATATAAGAATATGTATATATACATATTTCATTATACATGTCTGTATACATATACAAGTACATATGTATATGCATATATTAGTATATATGTATATAAAATATATGTGTATGTGTGCATATATGTTATTAGGCTATGTCCACTAAAAAAGTTTATATATATACCAAGAAGTTATATATACACACACCCATATATGTGTGTATATAATATATATGTCTCTCATGTTCAGAATCCTCCTACTAGGAAAAAAATTAGAAGTCACATCACAATTCTAAATATGGTTGGTATGTAGGAAATTCTAGTTGGTATGTAGGTTATGTGTGTGTGTGTGTGTGTGTGTGTGTGTGTATATTATATATAAAATAGATACACATGCACGTACCGTGTATGTATACATCATACATACATATATACATACATACGTGTTTGTGTGCGTATAAATGATTAGACTATATCCACTAAAAAAAAGTTTCTTACTGCTTAAAATGTTGTTTAAGAAGACTCAAAGGAGACGCCTTTTTCCTAAATAGTGATTGGGTAGATTTCAAGTGTGTGGATATGTCATGTGGATTTCACTTACTTGTGACCACACTGTTTTTTCCCATTGACCCACATGGTAATTACTTGTTTTTGGTTTTCCTCTTTGCAGAAAAGCACCGAGGATTTGCTTTTGTTGAATTCGAGTTGGCAGAGGTGAGAGAAGTCTGTGCCGCCCATATTTAGTCTGGCTCATATTATTGTTACTGATTACAGAGGAGGTGTTCTTCATTTGTCTGGGTTGCTGGGCCTTTCGCTGATGCTTCCAGAGGGACCAAAAGTGCTGTATGAAGGAAAGCTCTCGTTCTCACTGTGGGCTGTGAATAACATCTCAGGCCTCCTGCCAGGTCCTGCCCCTCTTGCTCTTACAGAGCTCCGAGAGCCCTGCTCATTGAGCTTTCTTGCCCAGCAGTGCTGGTGATTACTTCCTAGACCTTCAGCTAGATGGTGCACTGCTGCGTCAGCTCCAAAGTCAGCCAGGAAATTCCCTTTGTTAGAAACACACATACATTCACACATACACACACACACAACCTAGGCGGGAAATGGCGAGGTGACTTTTTCCCTTTTATTGCTGTCTATACTGGACATATATTTAGACCCCACAGAGGTACTGTGCATTCACCTGCAAACCTGACCTTGTGCCTTGTCTTTCCCTTGCAGGACGCTGCGGCAGCCATCGACAACATGGTATGACTGGAATCTTCATTCTAACTAAAGTTGCTTTTTTGTGATACAGAGGGTCCTTATTCAGACTGGTTTTCTGAACCTCCTAAATTACAAGGTTGCTTAGGGAGGTAAAATTTGTCATTGTGTGAAAATATTCATTGTGCATTGATTACTTACAAAGTTTATCCTTACTCAAATGTCTTTGTCCAGTAAATAATAACTTAAGTCCTAACCGTCCTTGCTAACTAATCTTTTACTGGCTGCCCCATGTCTAGCATGATATGTTTCAAACACAGTACAAAATGATTGTATGGTGAAACTGCGGATTTTGCAAAAGAGGGAGGATTTATGAAGTGCAAGACTAGTTAACAATTGAGAAGAGACATTGAGTATGAATAATGGCAGGGTGTACTTCTGGTTGAAATGATTCGACTATCCAGGAAATGTCCTTAGGAAAAATGATGACACCCTATTATTTATGCTGTCCTTGAGATCCTCACAATTTTTATTTCCCATAGAAATGCAGCAATAGGGGCCATCAGTTGGTTAAGGTGCTGTTAACCTTAGTTAACTACAGTTCAAGTCCTGGACTTGGCAGCTTGCTTTCTCACTGTCTTTCTCTCTCTAGCCAAATTGAAAAATAATAAATAAATTGGGACCAGCAGTTGCTGTAATGTCTGTGTTGCTGGACTCCCATGCAGTTGACTGGAGTTTCCGTTCCAGACCCTGTGGCTTAAACTCATGCCAGGCGCATGTGCATGTGTGCCCAAGATCCCCAGAGGAGAATGGAGGAGAAGGGATTGCGGTGTGGCCACCTCCCCGGGGATAATTTCTCACTTTCTGTCTTTCTGTATCTGTCTTTCTGGTGAGCACATGTGCCCTATAGCAAAAACCTCTCCAAAAAAAAAAAAGAATAAATAAGTAATTCTTTTAAAAAATAAGAAAAGAAATGCAAAGATAGGGCCAACTATCACAACCATGATGTGGCAGTTAAGGCAGCTGGGTCCCATGTGGCCAACTGTGAGGTTCGAGTCCCAGACCTGGTAGCTAAAAAACTCACTAGGTACGTGTGTGCGCTCAAAATCCTGAAAGGAGGGAGAAGTGGAAGGGAGGTGATTGTGGTGTGACTCCCCATGTGGGTGCTTTCTCACTTCCCCTCTCTGTCTCCTTGGCAACCACACACGTCCTTTGGCAAATTGAAAAGAAAGGAAGGAAGGAAGGAAGGAAGGAAGGAAGGAAGGAAGGAAGGAAGAAGGATACATCATATTGTTGGCAGAATTTTATTGGTAAAAAATTTTCAAAGTAATTAGCATCTGTTACATCTTTGTTCTACAAATTAGTTCATAGTTAAACCTGACTAGTGACTGTAAGAAATGTGTTTTGGGGGCTAGCAGGTGGTGTGGTGGTTAAGGCACTATATTCCTACATGACTGACCGTGGTTTCTAGTCCCAGACCCAGTGACTTGAAAATCACGCCGGCACATCTGCATGTGTGCCCACCCCAAATCCTGAGAACAGCTAAGAAGGGACTATGACATGGCCATCCTTCCTATGGGGGTGATTTCTCACTTTCCCTCTCTGTACACATGCCCTATGACAAAAACCTTTAAAAAAGAAAGAAATGTATTTTCATTATTTTTAGTTTTATAATGGTAAAGTCCCAATTGAAGCCCCCCCATCCATAGAAATTTTTTTAAAGAATTATTTTATTTAACTTACTTTTTTCCCTTTAATTTGACTAGAGAGGGACAGAAAAAGAGAGAGAGAAAGAGAGCAAGCCGCCAGGTCCGGGACTCAAACCGCTTTCAGCCATGTGAGAGTCCAGCATCCCTAACCATCATGCCACTTGCTAGCCCCTTACCATAGAAATTTTTATAACTGCCTTAAGCAGATTCACATTGTGTGACCATTTCTGGAACAAATTTATTTATTTGTTTCAAATATTTATTTATTGTGATTTTCAAGCTGCTGGGTCTAGGACTCAAACTGTGGTAGGCCATGTGGGAATCCAGCACCAAAACCACCACGCCACCTGCTGGCCCACGAATTAGTTTTGAATAGTGAGGTTCTCCTTTATTCCTTATTTTCTGTTACCCATTCACCGAACATCCTCAGCTGTGACAGAGAAGTCATTTTTCACCATTTCAAAGCTGACCGTGACCTTTGAAGGTGGACTCAGGTATCAGGAGTCTGCTTTTCTTGTGATTCCAGAGTGCTGTGCAGTTACTTGTGGGAGTAAATGTCTGTGCTGGTGGTGTTGCCAGGAAGCCGTGTGACAGCTCCAGGAGGAAGTTCCCTGCAGCCCCGGGCTGTCCTGCATTAGCTTCCTGTTAGAGGCTCAGGGATTCGGGGGTAGATCATGAGCATCCTCAGAAGTAAATGGAACCTGTCTGGCTCTCTTACTCTCACAGAGTTTAAGTAACTAGATTGTCAATCTTTTCAGAATGAATCTGAGCTCTTTGGACGGACAATTCGTGTCAACTTGGCTAAGCCAATGAGAATTAAGGAAGGCTCCTCCAGACCAGGTGAGTAGAGCAATTTACAGATTCCCAGTCTTGTCTCCCATTGGGTCTCAGCTGTATTTTTATCCCTCTTTTCCTGGATGGAGGTGCCAAATGCTGCTCCCTGGTGGACAGGAGTGGAAGATGGTTTACGTTAGGAAGGGCCGCACCGCTTTGTAAGGGGACAAGAAGTGCGAGCTGCTGAGCAAAGCCAGAGCAGATGTTTCTTTATAAGAGAAGCCCTGTCCGGTTCCTTATCTTTCCCAGTTTTGTGATACTTCCTGGGGTCCCCTGTTAAGGGGTGGAACTGCTAAAGCCTATCCCTTTGTCTTTGGCATAGCTTTTTCACTTAGTCTTGCCACAGGCTGGACTTCAGGACTGACATTCCTAGTGGGAACTTTCCAGGAAAGAAGAATTTCTTCTTCTTTTTTCCTTTAATTTTGCTATAGGGTACATGTGCTCTCCAGAGGGAGGGAGAGAGAGAGGGAAAGTGAGAAAGCCCCTGCTGGGAAGATGGAGCTGCAGTCCCTTCTCCATTCTCATAGGCTTTCAGGGACAAGTGCCCATGCACCCACCATGTTTTTCAGACCTCCAGGTCTGCGTCTTGAACTACCAGACATCCAGGTGGGATCTAGCCAGCTTAGACACCACTCCACTAGTGGGCCCCATGGGAGTCCTTAAGGGGGAGTTACCTGGCCAAGAGGTCCACAGTGTCTTGTATTTTGCTGACCAGAGCAGCTGTAGCAGTTGGCTGATAGCTTGAATTTCTTAACATTCGTCTGATTCTTCCCCGTCAGTTTGGTCTGATGATGACTGGCTGAAGAAATTCTCTGGGAAGACTCTTGAGGAGAACAAAGAAGAAGAGGGGTCAGCGCCTCCCAAAGTGGAGACCCAGGAGGTGAGAATAAAGGCTCTGCTTCAGGGGAGAATTCGGTGGCTTCCTCAAGGCTTTTTTCTGTTAAATTCTATGGAAATATTTAAATATATACAGATGCAGGAGAATGAGTAATAAACTCTTAGTGCTATGGGGAAGGCAGTGCTGAGCGAGTTACAGGGAGAGTTCCGAATCTGTCCGGTTACATGGTGCTGCCGTCTCCCGTCACTGGCTGTCCAGCCAGGCACAGTGGCCGTGGCTCCTGCCGTCTGCTGCCCTGTCAGGGCCGGGGCCTGCCCTGTCAGCACCTTGTTCCAGCTTACTGGAGGCATATGCTGAGTGTGTGTTCAGAGTACCTGTGCTCCTCCATGGGGCGTCAGGGAGTTCTCTCCAACGTAGCACTTCTTTTGCACCTAGGGAGAACCCACGGCAAAAAAAGCCCGGTCAAACCCTCAGGTGTACATGGACATCAAGATTGGGAACAAGCCGGCTGGCCGCATCCAGATGCTCCTGCGCTCAGACGTCGTGCCCATGACGGCAGGTGAGTGGGCTGCACGGCGCATGAGCAGGGAGCCACAGGCTTCCCAGGACGCTCGCTGCCTGCTGCCCCGGTTCTGGTGCCCTTGGCATCGTTCCTGACCGGAGCGATTTGACATCTCACATCCTGGGAGCAAGTAGTAGATGAGACAGAGCAGGTGTTTTTGAAGCCTTAGAAATACTGATTTATTATTTTTTAGTATTTTTTATAGTACAAATAAATGTATTTGTGGTGAGAACAAGCAATAACAAAAACTCAGTATTATGCATATAGTGCAACAGTATTGACGGCAGTTCATTGAAGAGTCTTTTTCCCCTTCTCCACATCCAGTCCTACCCTCTGAAAGTGACTAGTGCTGGGGCCAGCAGGCGACATGGTGGTTAAGGGCACTGGACTCCCACATGGCCAACCACAGTTCGAGTCCCAGACCTGGCACCTTTATTTAACACTTTCTCCCTCTCTTTCTCTCTCTCACACTCTGTCCCTCTCTGGTCAAATTAAAATAAATAAATAAAGTTATATAAAACGATTCTTTTATAAAAACAGAAGGGACTAGTGCTAATAGTTCCTTGTGTGCCCTTCCTAGTTTGCTAAAGACTGACTTTTACTTATTTTTTAAAATTACTTTATTTAACTTTATTTATTTATGTATTATTTTTAATTTTGACCAGAGATGGACAGAGTGAAAGAAAGAGAGAGGGAAAGTGAGAAAGCAAGCCGCCAGGACCAGGACTCCAACTGTGGTTGGCCATGTGGGAGTCCAGCACCCTCAACCACTACACCACCTGCCAGCCCTGACTTTTACTTATTTTTTTAATTGAAACTTTGTTATCTGGGCTTATGTTGGGTTGTTGGAAAAGTCATGATGTAAAAGGCGGTGAGGAAAGGATGGGGGTGGTTAACGGCGTTTTTAAACAGGATTTTAACCAGACTTACCATTTTGCTAATTACCTTCGCTCTTGTGGTGTAAATTGAGTTGCTCTTGTCGTCTACCTGTTTAAGATTCACGACCAGCTCCATGGCTCAGCAGTGCTGCTCAAGGGAAGCTAGACCCCCATGACGACCAAAGTTTGAGTCACTAGCCCTGTCAGCTTGAAATAAATTGGGCACACTCATGGTGCCCAAGATCCGATGGGCTGGAGGAAGGGGGTGGTGGCATGACCAGACCCTATGAAAAGTGCCCTCTTTCTTTTCTCATGTGCATGCATGCACATTCTTTCATAAATACAAATATATATATATCTTTTTTTTTTTGGAGAGGGTTTTTTTTTTTTTTCCGCTATAGGGTGCGTGTGCTCGCCAGACAGAGAGACATAGAGACAGAAAGTGAGAAATCACCCCCCAAGGGGGTTGGTCACGCTGCAATCCCTTCTCTTCCATTCTCCTCTCGGGATCTTGGGCACACATGCACACACGCCCAGCGTGAGTTTTCAGCCACCGGGTCTAGGATGCGAACCTAGGTCGACTACGTGGGAGTCCAGCGACATAGCCACATAGCCATTACGCTAACTGCTGGTTCCTGATATATATATATATATATATATATATCTTTAAAGATTTGGCTTTTTTGAGTCTTCTGTATCAGTTATGACTTGCCTATTTGTTTTTAAATTTTCTTTTAAAAAAATATTTATTTCATTATTATTATTATTATTTAACTTTCTATAGGACATGTGCGTTCACCATAGAGAGGAAAGGTGAGAAAGCAAGCCACCAGTACTTGAGCCGTGGTCAGCACCCCAGCCACCACGCCACCTGCTGGCATGTTTATTGCTGTTGACTCTTCTACCCTACTTTCTTTTTTTTTTTTCACTATTTTAACCATTTTTAAAAGTGTGTAATTTGGGGCCAGCAGTTGGCGTAATAGCTATGTCACTGGACTCCCATGTAGTCGACCATGGTTCAACTCCCGGACCCGGTGGCTTAAACTCACACTAGGCATGTGTGTGTGCGTGCCCAAGATCCTGAGAGGAGAATGGAGGAGAAGGGATTGTAGCATGGCCGTCCCCCTCGGGGGGTGATTTCTCGCTTTCTGTCTCTCTCTGTGTTTATGGTGCACACACACGCCCTATGGCAAAAACCTCTCACAAAAAAAGTGTGTAATTTGGTGGCATCAGTTATATTCATAATGAACAGCCATCACCACTCTTTTCAAACTTTTTTATCAAACGAAACCATTAAATTACCCATTAAATAATTTCCTTTCAGGCCCAGCAAGTAACATAGTGGTTAAGGTGCTGGACTCCCACATGGCTGACTGTGGTATGAGTCCAGACCTGGTGGCTTGAGACTCACACCAGATGCGTGTGTGTGTACGTGCCCAAAATCCTAAGAGGAGAATGGAGAAGAGATTGTGGCATGGCCATCCCTGCTGGGGGGTGATTTCTCACTTTCTTTCTCTTTGTCTCTCTGTGTCAAGCAAGCATATATGCCCTATAGCAAAACTCTCTCTAAAATAAATAAATAATTTCATTTTCCCTCTGTTTCTAATGATCTGTAATCTTTCTGTATCTATGAATTGGTCTGGTCTAGATATTTCCCCCCCCTTTTTTTTTAATTTAGTTTTATCTATTTTTTTTTGACAAGTTTTTTGCCTTAGGGTCTGTGCGCTTGCCAGAGTGAGAGAGACAGAGTCAGTGAGAGGGAAATTGACACATCACCCCTGGAGGGGATGACCACACCACAATCCCTTCTCCCCCAGGATCTTTGGGCACGTATGCACAGCACCAGGTGTGAGTTTCAAACCACCAGGACCAAGACTCAAGCCACTATCGGCCCAGTGGAGTCCAGTGACATAAATACTACGCCATCTGCTGGCCCCTTGTTGGTATTTAATTTTTCAAGGGGGAGTTTCTACTATAGGGCTTGTGCGGTTGCCAGAAAGACAGAAAGCGAGAAATCACCCCACAAGGGGGATGGCCATGCCACAATCCCTTCTCCTCTCGGGATCTTGGGCATGCGTGCACACGTGCCTGGAGTGAATTTAAGCCACTGGGTCTGGGACTCAAACTGCAGTCGACTACGTGGGAGTCCAGTGACATAGCCATTACTCCAACTCCCGTGGTCCCTCTTTATTATTTTTTAACCAGAAAGAGAGGGAAAGTGAGAAAGAAAGCCACCAGGTTGGGACTCAAACCATGGTCAGCCATGTGCGAGACAAGCGCCTTCTTCCCCACACCACCTGCTGGCCCCTTTCCTTTTTTTTTTTTTTTTTTTTATTTTATTCATGATAGTGTATGCAAAAGAGGGGAAGAAAGAGAAGCACCAGTGACAGGGTCTTATCAAGCCCAGGCCCTCCCCTGGCCCTCAGGCTCATCAGGATTTTGGACATATGCATACTCATCCAGCATGTTTTTAAGCCAGCCTGACATTCTGAACCTCACATCAGCAGGGTGGGTGGCTTCCAGCAAGGCAGCTCTGTTGCCACCGACTGTGCTGCCAGGCTGGGCCTGTTTTGTTTACACAGAATCGCACAATTGTTCTTTTTCGTGTCTGCCTCATTTCACTTAGCATAATGTTTTCCAGATTCATCCATGTTGTACCATATAGCATCCCTATTTCATATTGGACTGTTGTGTGTTGATATGATACTTTGTTCATCCATTCATTTGCCGGTAGACACTTGAACATTGTGTCTACCCGTGCGTGGGTACCCAATGTATTGCCACCAGGGCTAGGGTTCAAATCATAGTGGGCCATGTGGGGTCCTAGTCCTTCTACACAGCACTGAGTCACTGCATTGCCTGGCCAGTCTTCTTTATTTAAGCTTTATTTTCCAGGTCTCATACTTTCTTTTAGGTTCGTTTATTTCTTCCATGAGAGACAGATGGACGAGAGATAGGTACTCCGTATGGAGAAGAAGAGATTGGTCCTCACACGACCCACCCCCAGTCTCAGCTGGCCTAGATCATGGCCGTGCACACGTCCAGTGTGCCCAGGGAGGTCCTGGAGTCCCAGGATCTTACCCATATTGCGAGGGCTAGGGGGAAGGGTTCAGATGCATGACCACTGTTGGCCCCATTTTGAGTTCTATAGACCTTGAAGTGGTAATGCTGGGTCATCTGATAATTCTGTTTTAACTTTTTGAGGAACTGCCAGAGTGTTTCCCAGAGTCTGTCCCATTTTCCATTCCCACCAGCAATGTGTCAGGGTTCCGTCTCTCCACAGCTTCTCTGACAGGGTGAAGTATCTCATTGCGGTTTTGATTTGCATTTCCCTAATGACAGTGATGCTGAGCAGTGATGTTTTCATTGTTATTGGCCATTATATGTCTTCGGAGAACTGTCTATTCAGCAGTTTGGCCCATTTATTAACTGGATTCTGCATATGTTTGTTGTGGAACTGTAAGTTTGTTCTATATTCTGGATGTACACCCTTATCAAATATAATTTGCAGATATTTCCCCCCATTCCATGGGTTGCCTTTTACTCTGTTGATACTGTCCTTTGATGCACATGCGTTTTTAATCTTGGTGAAATCTAATTTATCTGCTTTTTATTTTCTTTTTTGAAAAATTGCTAGAGGACATGGGTACCCATGGGAGAGATGGGGAGAGTGAGAAAGCACCCCTGTGGGGGATGGTTACAGCACAATCCTTTCTCCTGTTTCTCCTTTTGGGATTTTGGGCATATACTCACTAGCACCCAGTGTGTTTTTGTTTTGTTTTTTTTTTTTGAGAGATTTTCACTGTAGGGCACGTGGGCTCGCCAGACAGACAGAGAGAGACATAGAGACAGAAAGCGAGAAATCACCCCCCAGGGGGGATGGTCACGCCGCAGTCCCTTCTCCTCCATTCTCCTCTCGGGATCTTAGGCACGCACGCACACGTGCCCGGCGTGAGTTTTAAGCCACCGGGTCCGGGACACGAACCGCGGTCGACTACGTGGGAGTCCAGCGACATAGCC